CCCCGGGCATGGGGTCCAGACTGGGTGGTGGGGATGGAGGTGGGAGGGGGTGTCGCGGCCCGGGGGTACTCACCGTCTCGCCCTTGGGACCCTGCTCGCCTTTGAAGCCTGCGATGCCAGGTTCTCCCTAGGGAGCGGAAAAGGCGGGTGGGTGCGGGATACGGGGTCCCATCTGTCTCCATCGCCATCCCTGTCTCCGTACCTGCCCCCATCCTATCCCCATGCCCATTCCCGTCCCATGCTTGTCCCTGTCTCCATCCTCATCCTCATCCCATCCCATCCCTGTCCCCATCCTTATCCCTGTCCCCATTCTCTGTACCTGTCCCTATCCAGTCCTCATCACCGTCCGTGCCCATCCCTGTCCCCATGCTCACCTCCATCCTCATTCCCATCCCTATCCCCATCCCCATTCTCATCTTTGTCCCTGTCCCCATCCCAATCCCTGTCCCATCCCTGTCTCCTTCCACCCTCTCTATCTCTGAACCTGTCCTTGTCCTATCCCCATGCCCATTCCCATTTCTGTCCCATCCCTGTCCCTGGCTCCATCCTCATCCCCTTCCTCATCCTCATCCCATCCTTGTCCCCATCGCTCTCCTCATTCTTTCCTGTCCCCTTCCCTGTCTCCATCCCATCCTCATCACTGTCCCTGTCCTCATCCTCATCTCTAGCCTCATTCCCAGCCCCATTCCTATCCCCATCCTCTTTGCTGTCCTGTCCCCATCCCTGTCCCCATCCTCATCCTTGTCCCTATCCCCACTCCATTCCCATCCCCATCCCTGTCCCTGTCCCCATCCTCATCCTTGTCCCTATCCCTATTCCATCTCCATCCTCATCCCTGTCCCATCCCTGTCTCCATCCTCATCCTCATTCCCAATCCTGTCCCTGTCCCCTTTCCTATCCCCATCCTCTTTCCTGTCCTGTCCACATCTTCGTCCCTGTCCACATCTTCCTCCCCGCCCCCACCTTCGTCCTCCTCTTTGTCCCCCTCCCTGTCCCCAGCAGCCCCCTTGGGACCCAGGGGAGGGTGTCCCACAGGGTGGCACAAGGGGGATTTGGGCAGGGGAAGGACGTGCCCCTGGGTGACCTGCAGAGGGGACCCTGCAGGGAGTTGGGGGCATGGGGGTGGAGCCTGTGGCTGAGGGGGAGGGGCCAAACCACCTGGGCAGAGCCTGGTGCATGTAGGCGGGGCCTGGGGGGTCCTTGGGGGCTCTTACCGTCTGGCCTTTGGGTCCCAGTGGGCCGGGGGC